GATTATAAATGCTTGCGTAAAGGAGTGGCTCGTGTGTCTTCGTGTATGTATGTATGTATGAATGTGTAGTTTGTGTGGCACGTGTCGTTTGTGCATATGTATGTGTGAGTGTGTGTTTGTGTGTGGGGGGTTATTGACTGATGTGCTTTGGTATATGTACGTATGTGCGTGTATGGGTTTGTCGTTAGTTGTATGTGTGTGTGTATGTAGTTTGTGACTGGTGTGCCTTGGTATATATATATATATATATATATATATATATATATATATATATATATATATATATATATATATATATATATATATATATATATATATATATATATATATATATATATATATATATATATATATATATATATGTATATATATATATATATATATATGTATATATATATATGTATATATATATATATATATATGTATATATATATATATGTATATATATATATATATATATATATATATATATATATATATATATATATATATATATATATATATATATATATTTATGTGCGTGTGTGTCTGTTTGTGTTATTTATTACTTAGTGGCTTTATTCGCGTGTAGAGATGTACTTTATTGCGTGTGATGCAGTGGCGTAGCGAGGTCGGGTGTCACCCGGTGCGGCACTTAATGGTGTCACCCCCTCAGAGGCGTAGCGACTCTTCCCGGGGACAAACTTTCAGTATTCGATTTGCATCCCCCCCCCCCTCAAACTTTCGATTTCCATCCCCCCTCGAACTTTCGATTTGCACCCCCCCCCCCTCAAAGTTTCGATTTGCACCACCCCTCAAATTTTTCTCTATATATTTTACTATTTTTTGCCTTGGTGTCACCCCCCTAAATAGTGTCACCCGGTGCGGTCCGCACCCCCAGCCCCCCCCCCCCCCCCTCGCTATGAGTAGGTTTGTATCGTTGTTTTGCGTTGCTTGACTTCAGTCGCTCTTTCCGGGTAGTTATCGTGTGGGATGACGCAGTGTTTCTTTTTCATTATCTTCCTCCCCCGCTTCCTTTAAACAAAACAGCAGTGTCTGTATCTGTCATGATATTATTGAACCAGCCAGCCTTAATTACACACTGTCTCTTACCACTGACTGACCAATATTGTGAGTATTGTTATAAGGCGAGAGTTAGTCGTGCTCACAGTTTGGGGTAGATACAGCAGGCTCACGCTGACTAATTTCAGACAAGAAAAACAAACCGTCACGCGCAGATGAGGGCTAATTTCCGTGACAATGTTGTTAACAATGGCGAATTCCTTGTTAGGGTACTTGTGTTATGTACCTGACGGTGACACATGAAGCTTCACTACATGGTGACAACAGGTTATTATAAATCTATTTATGGAGTGTCCGTCTGGGGTGTCTGTGTGCGGGTTAGCTGTGAGGCACTAGCACCCAGGAGTGTATGGAGTGCTGTGGCTAGTGTGTTCAAATGCGTGCTTGTTTGGACACGGGTTTCTTTGCTGGTTGGTAATTATCATTAAATTGACTGCTTGTCAGGATATGCATACACGTATTCTAATATATATATATATATATATATATATATATATATATATATATATATAATGTGTATACCTACAGACACATGTATAGATATAGATACGGATACGGATAATGATACAGATAGGAATATGGATATATGCATAGATTAATTTATAGATAGATATAGACAGATATTAATATATATATATATATATATCTATATTTAGATTTATATATAGATATACGCTTTTTATGTATGCACGTGGGTGATATGAGCACTCACACGCATGCTCATCAGACGTAGATGTACGTATATCCCGATGTCCGACCAATTTGCCTGTCGGTGCTCACGTCTAAAGGAGCCGCCCGCTCGCGACGTTCGAGCGCCGTGTCTAAGTTTTTAATGTACGTCTGTGCGCATTATGGCGGAGCGCGCGCGAGGCCCGGGGGGTCGCACGTGGAGTGTCTACCGTACCGGCGGGACCGCCGTCAAGGAGATTCTGTGGGAATTTCTGGAACCGCTTATAAAACGTGTCGCGCTGTTATTGGTCCTAGTCTAGGTTGGTCTCGGTATCGTTGGGACAGGAATTCTGTACGGGATATTGTGTAGATTACTGAGTAATTGTGTAGAATACTGAGCTGTTGTGTAGATTACTGAGTAGTTGTGTAGATTACTGAGTAGTTGTGTAGATTACTGAGTAATTGTGTAGATTACTGAGTAATTGTGTAGATTACTGAGTAATTGTGTAGATTACTGAGTTGTTGTGTAGATTACTGAGTTGTTGTGTAGATTACTGAGTAATTGTGTAGATTACTGAGTAATTGTGTAGATTACTGAGTAATTGTGTAGATTACTGAGTAATTGTGTAGATTACTGAGTAATTGTGTAGATTATTGAGTAATTGTGTATATTACTGAGTAATTGTTTAGACCAGTGAGCTGTTGTGTAGATTACTGAGTTGTTGTGTAGATTACTGAGTAATTGTGTAGATTATTGAGTAATTGTGTAGATTACTGAGTAATTGTGTAGATTACTGAGTAATTGTGTAGATTACTGAGTAATGTGTAGATTACTGAGTAGTTGTAGATTACTGATTTCTTTTCTTGTATCGTAAGTCTTAAATTACGTTTGTTTATGGACCAAGGCAAATTACATTCTTTAATCACAGTGTAATTTAAAAAAAAAAGTGAAAAGGTAATTAATTATATTTATTTTTATTTAACAACTCTTTTTATGACTCCGTGTAGATTAACGATTTTTTTTTTTTGTAATTGAGGTGTTTTTTTTTTCCAAAGTAGTAAGTATGAAATTACTGTTGATAAGAAATCATTGCATCTTAATGAATTCCTGAAAAAAATGAAGTTGAGTTACAAAGCGTTAATATTTTTATTGCATTCATTTTTTCAAAAGCGGTTTTGAAATTAGTTATTGTAATTACATTTTTTTTAAAAAGCAGAATATATTAATGCAGATATTTTAAAAAAATCTGGTATGCATTTATAAAAAACAAATACATCGTATATTTTACTTATTTCATTTCTGACCGCGGGCCTTTAATCCTGTTGTATTGTTTAATACAGTTTGAATCAATCTTTAACCAACACATTTCATGTAGGTAGAGTTTGACTTCTCTCATCCTGTGGTGAGACATGACCACTCATGTGTCGTGAAATGTTCTCTAGTCTATACCGACCTACCCTAAAGTGAATGAGAATCTCTTTACACGATCTTAATTAACAATATAGTCCTCTTGACGTCCGCTCATCGTTTGTTGACTGCGTCAGTGTTGTCTATTTTATCCAGCATCGCTTTCTGCTTTTGGGTGTTAATAGTCTAGCGATAGAGCGCACGGTTCGGTCTTGTTTGTTACATGTTCGAACCTAACCAAATATATGTATTTATCTTCTGTTAGCATTTAAAGCATCCACTTGTTTTAATGGAGGTAAAGGGGTAATGCGCTAGTCATGTTTTCACATCTAGACATCTTATTAGCAGTTCGCTATACAGAAAACATAATATTTAACAGAATCGTATGGTCAGTTACTTTAATGACCGCATAATACTAAACATAGTTGTTTTGACAGTAACCAAAATGGCTACATAAACGTATTCGTAATTACAGTTATCATAGTAACCATATAGTACTAAATTTCTCTACTATAAGTATCTCAACTGGCAATTTAAAGATTTAATCTTGTTACGTCATCAAGAGTATTATAATGTCATTAGAGTTAGGGTCATACATAGTGTTAAGGCTATGCTAGAACATCTATCATGATTTGCGCTAGTGATAAGGTTAGCTTTAAAATTATCAAGTTATATTTGTTAACACCCCCTTTTTAAAAAGACTACATTGTTATGGCTTTATGGGACTTTATGTCAGAGGCCTGTAAAACCTCCTCTCTGAACTCTATAATGAGCTCCAGCCTCTTAAGCACCTATCGCCCCCGGCACGTGAGTAGAGTCTTCTAAAAATCTAGGCCTAATTAAAAGACGCGGAGTGGCCGTGTAGGAGGGAAAAAAATAAATAAATACAAGAAGTCACACTCGGCCGTCTAGATAAGGACACGTCACAACACGGCCGTCCAACATTCACCACCCGTGTCGTCATCTGGCCGTCCAACATTCACCACCTAGCCGTCCAACATTCGCCACCATCTGGCCGTCCATCATTCTCTACCCGTGTCATTACCTGGCCGTCCAACATTCGCCACCTACGTCACCACCTGACCGTCCGGTCAAATTAACTTTGTCAAAACATGACCTGGCGTGGATCTCACTTAACCAAAATATGTCTATTTTTATACAGCCGGCTTGTTGTACAAAACCCCTCCACCCACCCCTGACTTCTAGACTTCTATGTGTTTATTTTTACCAATATATATATATATATATATATATATATATATATATATATATATATATATATATATATATATATATATATATATATATATATATATATATATATATATATATATATATATATATATATATATATATATATATACTTTTAGAATCACACTCTTTGCTCCATCACCCTCCGCCCCCCACCCCCACCACATACCCACCACACCCCATTAATTCCCCACATGCCCATGTCACATTTTGAAAATGCGTCTTGTCACGTTCGAAACTCTGGGCTGCCGGCAGTGTTGCCAGATGTACGGTCGATCCCCGGGCAAACTCACCCCCCCCCCCCCCCCCTCCTTCTCAGGTCTGTAGTTTTATTTCATTCTGTTCCCCGTGAGTTTTTTTTTTTTTTTTTTTTTTTTTCTTTGGAACATCCCCGGAAGAGTTTTAGACTGGAGTGTTAACATTAGAGGCAAGGAATCATGGGACAGGCGCGACCGGCTTGTAAACAACACGTAGGGTGGAGAGAAATTTTTCCCACAGTCGGAGAAAGAGAGAGAGGGAAAAAAAATATATTTGTTTCAACAAGTTTGTGTGAAGTTTTTTCATTGTGGGAAGGAAAGGGGCGGTAAGCAGGCGAGATGAGTAAATTAATATGGGAGATAAGACGAGTTTGTCAAGGAGCTGTGCCGAGAGAGTGCTGTCCCTTGATTCACTGCCGGCGTGTGAACTGGGCCGAGAGTTCAGCGCGTTCCGAGGCTGCGCTAAGTGATGCTGCTGCGCACGTTGATGCTGCGCATGGAAGTTGATGCGATCGGAACCGTAAAAATAAACAATATTAAAATTCAGTATTGTTTGAATCGGTCTTGATTCTGTAGAAATACGTAAATAATAGAACTGATTTATATAAGAGACCTGAATAATACCTTAGACGAAATCGATGACTTTTTACGTATTAATTGAATTAAAATAATTCCGTAGGTCGCTCTATCAGGGGCGGAACTGCATGCATCTTGAAAGTGGTTTTGTAAAAAAAAAAAAAAAACAGGTCAAGTCAACTATAGCAGAGATTGTTCTACAGTTACTATCACACACTGTTGCGTAGAAAAATATTTTAAAATCTACAAGAAAGGTAGGTAAACGTTCACACTACATCCATGACTTACTGCCCTTCTTTAAAATAGGGGTGCCCATGAAGCTCATTTAAATAGTTCTGTACTATGTACATTTAATGGCAATTCATTCCCTGAATTATTATTTAAATACGACATACTAAACAATCGTATAGTAAAAAAATCAATGTTTTCAAAATTAATATTATAAAAGCCAAAAATGAAAAAAATAAACATAACTCGAGAAACCATTCACAAATCAAGCTTACGTCTTTATATACTCTTGACGAGCATTTGTCTCCTCAATAGGTAAATAAGTTCTACTTCGCGCTCATCACTGTTATCATTTTCTTCTAAAAGAAAAAAGCTAAACAGTCAATTGGTGCCTAAATTGCTAGAACCAGAACAAGAGGATGGAGAAACTGTGACAGTAGCATATGTTGATGATGGAGAAAATTTGATAACAAATGTGGATGATGTAGAAAGTTTGACAGTAGCAGATGTGGACGATGGAGAAAATTTGACAATAGCAGATGTGGATGAAGCTGAAATAGCTGAAGAGATAGTTGTGACAGTTGATGTGACTACCTCCAATGAGGATGTCACACATACATCAGATAGTTTAAATGATTCCTTGGCAACTATACAGACAACTGTCACGGTCCCAGGTGGCCATGTAGTAACTGAAGATATAACTGAGTCAGATAGACCCAGCTCCGCATTTGTTTTTAAAGATTCTAATTTTGTTCATTCTAGTAAAGGCATTGCTGGAAATAAAAGGACAAGGGTGTGGAAAAATCTGAAGCAAATAGTTGCAGCAGAGAGGGCGCTGCAGTGGGGACCAGATGATGTCACTTATGGTTCAATTGATGCGCCTCCATCTTTTCGACCTGCTAAAAAGTATTCAGACATTTCAGGGCTTGAGGCCAAATATACAGACCCACGCACAAAAATGCGGTATGCTAATTCAGACGAGTACAGGAGGGTCCATTTATTACCTAATGATATCATAACTGGATGTTTGCAACTTCGTAAAGCTAATACTCTAATGCCTTGAGTTATAATATATAATATGTTTTTATTAAAAAAATACTTGATAAGGAAAAAAAATAACATTTCGTCACAAAGTACCTACCCCCCCCCCCCCCCCCGCCCCCCCCCCCCCCCCACTCACACCACTCTCTACTGAAGTTCGAATTTTAATAAACCCTACCATATATACATCTTTAAAATGGGCTACAATTGTTGCGACTTTGAAGCTGCGTAACCTACCTAGCTTATTCTAGTGTATAACATTTTTTATGCTCTTTTTTTAAAAATAGCACCTGTATCACAGGCAAGTTTCATGTAGTCAGCTGTCTATGCTATGACCCTACCTCAACCCTCCACACACTTGAAACTACATCAGCTTAAAATGATCCACCCGCGTCAGTTTTTATTTTCAAAGATGTCGTTAGTTTGATGTTTACACGTGGCGACCCCTGCATGTTAAGCAAGGCTCGCTTAATATCTACCACACAATAACCCTTTTAATAGAAGGTTATTATAAAACAGAACACGTGTTCAACATAAAATAAACATAAAATACAAATAAATTCTAAACGGTGTGAGGGAATTTTTTTTATAAATGCAGTAAAAGGGGTTAAAACAGGATCGGACATTTTTTTTTTATGAGCAGATTTTCGTAAATAAGTAAAATTTAAAAAATAAATAAAAATTAAATACAAATAAAATGAAATAAAAACAAACAAAATCTAAACGGTGTGAGGGAATTAAAAGGGGTGTGAAAGGGGTTAAAACAGGGTCGAAGTTTTTTTTTTTTTTTTTTTTTTTTGCTAAGCACTACCCGTGTTATCGTTCGTGTGCTGGGTTGTGTTGACCCCGTTTTAACGGGTCATAAAACTAGTATGTGACATGCAATAATATAGCGATACCGTAATTACTCGCGAGGGCCGCACACGTTCTCTGTAATCACCAGGGTCAAGGTCATGCTTGGGGTTTTGACTAGGGATATGGCTAGGGTTGAAGCTATGGTTAGTTTACAGTAATAGCTTGACTAGAGGCTAGAGTTATGGCTAGGGCAGGGGTCGGCAACCTGCGGCTCGCGAGCCGCATGCGGCTCTTTTGATGTCGTGATGCGGCTCTTCAGCTCCATGCACAAATATTAACAATTATTTTATTTTATTTTTAAAACACATACAAATATTGTTCTGCAATACTCGGCAATGAACGATAAAATAATAAACACTCGCTATCCTATTAGAATATTAGAATATTTAGTTACGCCCTATTTCAATTAACTTCCTATTTAGATGATTGTTTCGAAAAAAAATTTACTTCATTTTGTTGAAGACCCGGAGAGAGGTAAATTACTTTATTTTAAAAAATCTGAAAAAAAAAATATGAACAACCCAACACTACTATTAACATGAATCACTTCAGCATTACTATAAACAAAATGAAGGATGGGTTCACTGAGATATTTGAGCAATTCAAAAGAAATGCAAGTACTCTGACCTTCACAGTCAAAGTAGATTCTCTCAACACAAAATTAAAAGAGATTTGGAATTGATGCTGGTTCGCTTCAAATTAAATTGCTAGATTTGAAAACCACACATTTGTGGAGCGGTAAGCTCACATATCTCAAGAGCAAGTTAGACGATTTGGATGCCCAGAACAACATGCATGTTTCACTGTACAACTGGACAGCTCTAAAAGAAATGTCGCGAGTTTACTATTGTTTAACAAGTTGAAAAAATCACATAGTTTCAAATATGTAGCTTCTTTATTTTAGGAAAGTAGGTCTACCTTCAATATAGTAAAATAAATTAACCTTTCTTACAATGCTCCGCTCTTTTCTCGTAAACATAAATCTTAATTCTTCTATACACCACAGCAATGTTGCAACTTGATAGATCTGTATTATATTGGTTTCTTTTTGTTTCTTCCAATATTTTAGTTCCAAACAAATAAGGGAAACAACTTTAAACTATGTTATCAAATTAATAAATAAACCAATACCCCAGTTGAAATATAAAACTCATGTAAATCCTTGTTGATTTTGTTTACTTTTCTATAAGTATTAATAAATGTTATGTAAACATTTTGTCTGCCTTTAAAATGTATTGATATTAATAGAAAAAATATTTTTAATTAAATTAAGAAACTCATAACTATGTAAGATAACTTCGCGTTAATAAAATAAATTCCTTATATTTAATCAATATTCTCCTATAGGCGGTTGGTTTCTCAAAAAATTTATAGATCTACTTTCTCACAACTGTGATGTGGTCAGCCCCGTGGCAGTGGTTCCATGCTTTCTACTACCGAAGTGCATATTTTATTTACTACTTTCGAATATTTTCAAAAGTAGTTATTTAATTCAGAAAGCATTTTTGTATGTGTCAGTGTGCATTAATTTGACTTGAGTGGCATAGTGTTTTAGTTATTAGCTTCTAACTTGGGTAGGGATAGTGCTATAGCAGGGGTCGGCAACCTGCGGCTCGCGAGCCGCATGCGGCTCTTTTGACGTCCAGATGCGGCTCTCCAGCTCCTTGCACAAATATTAATAGTTATATAATTTCATTTTTACTGGATGGTAGGGTACGACTTTACCCTGCGTTTAGTGGGATGGAAGATAAGCCTGGTGAGAACCAAAGGATAAAAGCGAACGATGCAAGTTATTCAAACCAATATCCAAGCCAGTTAGTCGGAGTTTGCCGTCTTGAGGCCTAACTGGCTAATGAGAGACACCTCCTGAACCGGTGATGTCCGTAAAAAATAAAAAAAATAAAAAAAAAATAAAAAATTAACAGCTTCTAAAGTAAATTGAGATAGTCATAGAATAATATTATTTGATTACTAATTTTACTATTCTGGCGAAACATGTCTATGTTTTTACATGAATAAAAATTATTTCTATATTTAGAGCTATTTATTTTAAATAACAAATCAACTTTATTTACCTAATCCTAATCAAATACCGAATATTGAACTAAAAATGTTGTGGCTCTTTAAAAACTGGGAAAGTTTGTAAATTGTAACTTTTGTCTCTTGCCTAGCAAAAGGTTGCCGACCCCTGGGCTAGGGTTTTAGCTAGAGTTACGGCTAGGGTTTTAGCTAGAGTTATGGCTAGGGTTAGGCTACAGTTATGGCTAGAGTTGTAGCTAGAGCTATGGCTAGGGTTTTAGCTAGAGTTATGGCTAGGGTTGTGGATGTTGTTTGACTAGATTTATAGCTAGGATTGTATCTAGGGTTAGAGATTTGGCTACAGTATTGGGTAGGTTTGTGGCTATGGTTTGGCTTGAGTTTTTGGATGGATTTGTATCTAGGTTTATGCTAGAGTAATGACTAGAATTATAGCTAAAGTTATAGTTAGAGTTATTGCTAGTTTTTAGAATTTGTATTGGAACTAAATTTATTTTAGGAATAAGAACCACCGTACGCACCAGTAATTCTAAAAACGAGTTTTTTCCTTTGATAAATGCATATTTAAACATAGTGTAGTCGAGTTAAAGGCGCGTTACGGTGAGTAACAGTTTCACTCTCTGGGCGGGTGTTTAGGATGTCTTAAAACAGGAACCGGCTCCATGGGAGGCAGATTTTGACGCTATATCTATACGACTAGAAACAAAATGAATGCAATGGTAATTATGTGGTTTTATTCTGTGGGGTGGGAAAAGATTGTGTGTAATGGGGGTGGGTAGGGTGGGGGCACGTCTCAAAAGTGTTGTGTGAGGGGGTGGTGGGGGTTGGAGTCTGGGAGAGTATTACGTGATTGATTGGTTTCTTGTTTTATGTTATTTATATGTGCATCGTAAGATCGGTCATAAACAGCGGCTGGGAGGGGATGTGGTGCTGCATACTAAGATGGAGGGTGAGCTGCTCCAATTGGTGAGGGATAACTGTGTTGTGTTAAAGGTGGTGATACTTTTGGGGATATGATGGTGATACTTTTGGTGGTGTGAGATGGTGATACTTTTGGTGATATGATGGTGAAATGTTTGGTAATGTGGAATGGTGGTACGTTTGGTGATGTGATATGGGATGTAAGAGATGGTGATGTAGGAGATGGTGATACGTTTGTTGATGTGACAGATGGTGATACATTTGACGTTGTGAGAAAATAGTGATGCCTTTGTTTTACGAGGGATGGTAACACGTTTAGTTAACTATTTTTTTTCGAATAAGAAAGCGATTCTACCATTCTTTTTTTTCTACACTCCTTGCACACTCTCCCACAACACTAGTGTACATCAACGATTTTAGTTCTTACCAGGTTTAATATTACACACAAAGTAGAACGGCTTTGTAACTCGAGCATCATTGCATAATTCAGACACGATGACTAACCAAATCGATAAAACCCATCTCTAATACCATCTCTTTAATATCCTTCTCTGAATCTTCATATCCGTGGGTCGCCACTCAAGATAACACGTTTTCTAATCTTGTTTTAGAGAGATGGTTTAAGTTAAACGGGAGTCGGTTAGTGTTCAGCGTCAACCCCGGCTCTTCTGTAATCCAGATTCCGGCTTTAGAGTCCTTCACAGCTCCCGCCGGCTTCAGAATTTTCCACAGCTCCGACTTTAGCAGCTGCGTATGTATGTCAAGGTCGTTTAGCTTTGAGTACCATGCGACAGTCTTTAAATGTTTAGCATCGGAAATTTAACTCGAGTTTGTCTGTCAAGTTAACGATTTGGGAGCTAAACATTTTTAAATGTTAACGGTAAGTTACCTTTTTTCTTAAGATTTGTTTCTAGCCTCAGACCGAAAAAATAACTTTCATTTATAGTAACAAAATAAAGTTAACATGTTTTGCATTGAAGAATAAGAATTTAGAATTTTTTTTTTGTTTAAATTACAAGTTATATTAATTGGAAATTAACTTCTCTAAAAGTCCAAACTAAGGAAAGCTTCGTTTTCGTTAACAACACAAATTGTAATTGGCTTTCTTTCGAGAATAAAAATGTGGGTTGTTCGATTTACAGTCGACATTACTTAACAGAAAAAAAATAACACAAAAAAACTTCAATAAACAGGGTTTCTTTCACTTTT